TCGTGTGTCTTCCTCCGGGAGCACGCTGGGGTGGGGGTGGGGCGAATAGAGGAGGGGAGGAGAGCGATGTTACAGTGAAGACGGGGTGAAAGAAGAAGTCACAGGGACATTAGTTGATATTTCAAAATTAATGAAAATGAAAACACATCATATCAATATGTGTGACAAAAAGGTTCTAGGCACCTCGGTAATAGGTTAGAGGAAGATGAACGCCAAGGGGCAGGAGAAAAGTTTCTGGGGGGTATGTACAGCACTAGCTAGTTTAATAATTTACCATGTATATGTTTTACTTTTTTCATTAAAAAAATCGGGGTTTTGGCCCTCCCTGGTGGCGCAGCGGGTTAAAGCACTGCACTAAGAAACTCAAGCCACTTCCGCATGAGTTGGATCCCGCCTGCCCCAGAGGTGACCACATGGCGCGACAGACCTCTCCTGGCCCGCTGCTCCCCTCAGCAGTGTACTTCTTGATCTGCCTGTTCTGCTCCCCACTCTGTCCCTGGTGAATTCTCTCACCCTCTGCATCCCTGGCCTGTACCCCAGTTCTCTATGAATAAAATAAATAAATCTTAAAAAAAATAATCGGGGTTTTCCACGGGGATTACAATTGAGATAAAAAAAATGTACAAACTGATGTAAAAATAAACTGTTACATTATTAAAAAAAGATCATAAAAAAAAGAAGCTAAAGCAGCTTCCGTATTAACTCAATCCCCGCCTGCCCCAGAGGTGACCGCATGTCGCAGCAGACCTCTCCTGACCTGCCCGCTGCTCCCCTCAGCAGTGTACTTCGTTGATCTGCCTGTTCTGCTCCCCGCTCTGTCTCTGGCGAATCCTCTCACCGCCCCTACACCTCTGGCCTGTGCCTCTGTTCTGTATGCACAAATAAATAATAAATATTTTAAAATAAATAAATAACTACTCTAAAAAAGAGAGAGAAAAATCGGGGTTTTCGGGTACGTTTGTAAGACTCCTGTATCTTCCGTACACCGTGTTAAATTCTTTACCACTTATAATCTCACTGAGCACCATGTGACAGAAGCATTTCTAAGTGTCCCCACATCACGGGAACAGCAGGCGCTCGGTGGAAAGGAATGGCGCATGCGCCGGAGAGGGGTCGGGGAGGGGCCAGCAGCGGACCCCAGGTCCCGGAGCCCCAGCGTGGAGGAAGAGGCAGCTGGAGTCAGTGCTCCCCCGAGGCTGCGCCTGACACCCGAAGGGGGCACCAGGTTACATGCACCAGGAACTACCCCAAGTCTAACTGCTAGTTAAAGTGTGCAATTGACAAATTCTAACTCATGTTTAAACCCACAAAACCATCACAGTCAAGACTGTTTTTTCTAATGTCCCTGTGATGACTTCTTTCACCCCGTCTTCACTGTAACATCGCTCTCCTCCCCTCCTCTATTCGCCCCACCCCCACCCCAGCGTGCTCCCGGAGGAAGACACACGAGTAACTGGAGTAACTGAGAGTAACTGAACTTGGGAAGCAGCGGGATGAGGTGCTCCCCTCGCTGAGGGTGGTGGTGACGCCACTCACCTAGGCTCCTCCCTCGGGGCTGTTTGCTCGCCCAGTCTATTTATCGCGCTTGGCTGGTGTCCAGTGGCTGCTGGACCTCCGCCTTGCTCTGGGTCACCACCCAGTGCTACTTCATGCTTTTGGTCAAATTGTTCCACCTTGGGCAGCTCTTTCAGTTGGCACCGGCTCGCTGGTTTTCTGAGCACTCTGGCTGGGCTTGACGAGCTAACAGTCCCTCTCCAGTGCTAGACGGGGACCCCTTCTCCTGGGAACCCTGACTGCCTGCCACAGAGGGAGGGGAGGGGGCTGCCTGAGGGAGGCAGTGACCTGGGGAAACATCAGGCCCTGAGGTCTGGACAGACGCTGAAAGTGCTGGTGTGGCCTGCGTGGAGGTGTCGGGGTGCTTCCCCTGGCTGTGAGGCAGCCCGCTTTCTGA